AAAAAAAAATGCATATTTGACGACTGCAGCGAGCTGTATGGGCACAGCTGGGTACTACTTTATAGTATGTTCACTCTACTCACTGGGGTTTATGCCTAAAGTCAGACTTGGGTTCATGTATAGGTATGTGTCAGCTGTGCTAGCTATTGGATATATTTAGACTAATTAAGTTCATTGGCAGAACAATTGAATTGGGGAGGGGGGGAAGGCATGGAGGGCAACCATGGATGCCAGGGACAATGGGGGAGGAGGATGGGACATAGCAGAGGGTGGGGGATGGGGAATCAAGGATGGCAAAACAAAAGGCAAGGTATGCAGGACATAAGAATTGGAAAATTATTTGGTGAGAACATGTATGTTGATGTGCTTGATTGAGCCAATACACAGTGTATTTTGGATGGAAAATTTATTTGTGTGTTGTGATGGTGTATAGTGAATTAATGTAGAAAATGAATAAATTAAAAAAAAAAAAAAAGGGCGGGTGTACACCGCAGGATCACCTGGACAGCATCTTCTTTTTTTTTTTTTTTTTTCGGAGAGGTTTTTGCTATAGGGCGTGTGCACTCACCAGAAAGACAGAGAGACAGAAAGAGAGAAATCACCCCCTGGGGAGACAGCCACGCAGCTATTCCTTCTCCTCCATTCTCCTCTCAGGATCTTGGGCACGCACACACGCACACATGCCTGGTGTGAGTTTAAGCCACCAGGTCCAGGACTCAAACCATGGTCAACTACATGGGAGTCCAGCAACGTAGCCATTACACTAACTGCTGGTCTCCCTGGACAGCATCTTCTATTAGGGGGCTGGCCCTCAGCCTTGGCAAACATTTCTGTGTCTGCCCACAAGAAGCCACCTCAAATGACCGTTCAGTTTACAACAACTGGGAAGCACTGTCTGGTTTTGGAATGTCCTGAAACCCAAGTGGAAACAATCGTCCATTGTCTGCCCCTGTGGTCATATTGAATTTTCCCCCAAGATACAAAGAAAAAATTTTTTTGCATTGATAGTTCACAATTTAAAGGCATTTGCAAAATATGAGACTTCAGTGTTTTATGCCATTTAATAACTTAAAACTCAGGGTTGACATCAAGAAGACAACTTTGTATGGCAGAGACATTGACAGTCCTGGGCTAGATCTGTGTCCCCAGATCATGTACATGCAGCCAGACAGGTCTGGGAGACTTGTCAACAAGGTATTTCTCAGGAAGTTTAGTTTCCAAGGGTTACTTTCTCTTTTCTTTCTTTCTCTCGTACTTTTCCATACTGTCCCAAGTTATTTGCAGTGAGGATTTTTTTTCTGGAGAGACATTTTGCTATAGGGCATGCGTGCTTGCTGAAGAGACAAAAAAAGACAGAGAGAAAGCGAAAAATCCCCCCCCCGCGGTGGAGGAGGATGGCCACTCTGCAATCCCTTCTCCATTCTCTTCTCTGGATTTTGGGCACGCACATACACATGCCCAACATGTTTGAAGCTGCCAGTTCCAGATTTGAAACATGGTGGACCACAAGGAGTCCAGTGCCACTATGCCCTCAGCTGGCCCCAGGGAAGAGGAAGAGGGTCATTTTCTTTCTCTCTCTTTTTCTTTCTTCCTTCCTTCCTTCCTTCCTTCCTTCCTTCCTTCCTTCCTTCCTTCCTTTCTTTTTTAAGAGATTCTTGCTATAGGGCATGTGCACTTGCCTGAGAAACACAGGGAAAATGAGATATTACCTCTCGGGGGGTTGGCCACAGGGCAATCCCTTGCCCCTCATTGTCCTCCTGAGATTTGGGGCACATAAGCACATGCACCCGGGCATGATTTTCAAGCCACAAGGTCCAGAACTCGAACCCCAGTCAACCATGTGGGATTCCAGTGCCTTAGCCACTATGTCACCGCTGACCCAAGGATCATCATTTTTTCAAAAGAATTATTTTATTTAACTTTATTTTATTTATTTATTTTAATCTGACCAGAGAGGGACAGAGTGAGGGAGAGAGAGAGAGAGTGAGAAAGCAAGCCTCAAGTTCCGGGACTCAAACTACAGCTTGCCATGTGGGAGTCCAGAGCCCTTGACCACCACACCACCTGCCAGTCCTTTTTTTTTTTTTTTTTTTTGTAAATAATTATTTCCTGGGACCAGCAGTTGGTGCAATGACTATGTTGCTGGACTCCCATGTAGTCGACCGTGGTTCGAGTCCCGGACCTGGTAGGTTCAATTCACGCTGGGCGCATGTATGTTCATGTCCAAGATCCTGAGAGGAGAATGGAGGAGAAGGGATTGCAGCGTGGTCATCCTCCCTAGGGGGTGATTTCTTGCTTTCTGTATCTCTGTCTCTCTCTGTCTTCCTGGTGAGTGCATGTGCACTATAGCAAAAACCTCTCAAAAAAAAAAAAGAATTATTTCCTTTATTTTAGTTATAATTATTATTAGTTTTGAAAGAACTGTTTATTTATTTAATTCCTTTTGCCATTATTATTTTTTTATTTGATCAGACACAGAAAGAGAAAGGGAAAATGAGAAGTTAAGCCTCCAGGTCTGGGATTGAACTGCAGTTGGCCACATGGAGTCCAACGCCTTTATGCACCACATCACCTCCTGTCCCCAATTATTGTTATTTCTTAAAAATTTGACCAGAGTGACATACAGAGAAAGAGAGAGGGAGAGAGAGAGAAAGCAAGCTGCCAGGTCTGGGACTTGAACCGTGGTCAGCCATGTGGATGTCCAGCGCCCCCTACAACCACGTCACCTGCTGCCCTCCACAACCCCCCCTCCCCCAGTATCATCATTTTTACAGAAACAATAATTCTCTGGATTTTCTTTCTTTTTTAAAAAACCTTCGGCTGTGAAATCCATCAGTGGCAAACTGGGCCCAACACGTGTTCGGTTTGGCTGGCTCCATGGATTTTTAATTTTTTTTCCACCACTGGGTTGGATGCTTCCAGCCGTTCCCCAACTCCTTTA